GAGGCCATCGCTTCTAGGTTGGAGCTAATCGCTTCTAGGTTGGAGGCCCTTCTAGCTTGGAGGCCATCGCTTCCAGGTTGGCGGCCAGCGCTTCTAGGTTGGAGGCGCTTCTAGGTTGGAGGCGCTTCTAGCTTGGAGGCCATCGCTTTTTGGTTGGAGGCCATCGCTTTTTGGTTGGAGGCCATCGCTTCTAGGTTGGAGGCCATCGCTTCTAGGTTGGTTGGAGGCTATCGCTTCCAGGTTGGAGGCCAGCGCTTCTAGGTTGGAGGCCATCACTATTAGGTTGGAGGCCATCGCTTCCAGGTTGGAGGCCAGCGCTTCTAGGTTGGAGGCGCTTCTAGCTTGGAGGCCATCGCTTCTAGGTTGGAGGCCATCGCTTCTAGGTTGGAGCTAATCGCTTCTAGGTTGGAGGCGCTTCTAGCTTGGAGGCCATCGCTTCTAGGTTGGAGGCCATCGCTTCCAGGTTGGAGGCCAGCGCTTCTAGGTTGGAGGCCATCGCTATTAGGTTGGAGGCGCTTCTAAGTTAAGGCACTTCTAGGTTGGAGGCGCTTCTAGGTTGGAGGCCATCGCTTCAGGTTGGAAGCCATCGCTTCTAGGTTGGAGGCCAGCGCTTCTAGGTTGGAGGCCATCGCTTTTTGGTTGGAGGCCATCGCTTTTTGGTTGGAGGCCATCGCTTCTAGGTTGGAGGACATCGCTATTAGGTTGGAGGCGCTTCTAAGGCACTTCTAGGTTGGAGGCGCTTCTAGGTTGGAGGCCATCGCTTCTAGGTTGGAGGCCAGCGCTTCTAGGTTGGAGGCCATCGCTTCTAGGTTGGAGGCGCTTCTAGGTTGGAGGCCATCGCTATGAGGGGGAAAGATTCCACTGGGGATTCGCCGCGCCTGTACCGACCGTCGACGGGAGACCCCTGGTCCCTGACCTTCGTTGTGTGGCGTTTCCACCTGGTCTGCTCCAGACTCAATCGTTGGTTGGTCCTTGAGCTGTTTGAATGAGACAAGACCAAATGGTCGAACCGAAGAAGGGACTACCCTAGCTGGATCAACACCCTACTGAGAGACACATCCACATGGGGAAATCATACATTTGGATCCCTAACATTCCTGTCGTACCTCCTCCAAAGCTCTTTAGACCCTCCAGTCACCCACCCTAATAACGTCTCAGAAGGTAGTTGGAGCCTTAGGTGCTGGACCCTTTGTGGTTGTCTTCTACATTCCTTGCCTCTGCCGTCTGACTTTCTGCATCCTCAAGATGGACCCTTCCCTGCTACTGGCAATGCTTAGGAGATTCAGGTGGTGCAGGGCCACTGCAGGGTTTGTGTCACCCATGGAGTTCAGTCTCAAGAGTAAACCCTCAAAAACAGAGCTTCGCAAAATCTTCAAGACTTGTTCTCGCCTGAAGCTTCTGGTTGGAGGACCGGAGGCCGCCGGCCATGTCCTGGACAAGCGCAATGACCCACAAGGCGGGTCGCTTCTTTGGCCAACGCAAGACCTCTGGCATTCTCAACCGGGACCTCTAACATTCTTTCTTGGGTCATTTCATGTTCCTTATGGAAAAATCAATTTTGCAAAGCTTTGCTTCTTGGATGGCTGAACATCACCCTTGCCACACTTCGAACTTGCCTTCGTTCACCACCTGTGGGCACCTTCATCACAGTGGCACAGGAATTCCACGTCGGTCAGGATTTGGTCTCGCGTCTTCGATGCACATGGAAAACCCCGGATGCCCATCCTGCTGGTTGGACAACTCCGTTCGGGAGGATTCGGTGGTGCCATTCGACGCACTCAACCTCAGCAGTTCGATCTCTTCCATCACTCACTCAGTCACTCGCTTCGTAGAAATCGTCCTGAAATCACCTGAGGATCACTAGGCAATCACCAATCCATGTGACCCAAGAAGCCAAGGAAGAACCCAGCCCCTCCGCAACCTCCGTTTCACCTGTGAGATTTGGAAATCTCCAAGCCGCTTCCTAAGGTAGAGAACCAGCTGATCTGGGGCCCTTTCTGACTTCTAACGCACTGGTCGCTTTTCCCCAGCGGGGCGGGTCACAAAGAACATGAACCACTCCGAAAATTTGTTGCCAAATGCTTTTTGGATGTCCCCATAAACTCCGGGAGCACAAATAAATTTACAACCTGTGAACGTCCTCCAGTCGCACCTGTTCGGGGGCCGCGTGTCAGAGCCTACCTATATGGAGCCAAGCTGCCGCTCTTGTAAAGAGTCACTACGCAACTTCTCAGAGAGCAGCGCCTGCACGAACACTCGATCCTACGAGTAAACAGGTGGTGCCAGAACACCGCATACCCATTTCCAAATGAGCCAAGAACATCAGGAATGGCTAGAGATCGGCATGTCTCTTTTTTGTTGGAGACGGGACTCCAGGCTTTCATCTCTCGCTTGGAAACTGACTCTCCAATCTACTGTAAGTGACACAAATCTTACTGTATGTCTCCTTTCAAATCTTCCTTCACTGCCAGCACCTGTTCAAGATCCGCCTTCTCGAGTTCAGCGGCCTGGAGTCAGAACCAGTTTGCAAACTGAAAAAGTCAGCTTCTCTTGGAAAGCATTGAAAGCATCAAGAAGCTGTCTATTGCTCGAGTTGCTTGAAGGTTCCTCCACATGTTTCTGCTTGCTTCATCAAGTCTCTGCCATATTCCGTTAGGACCTTAGGACTATTGTGAATTGTAGCGAAGCAATTACTTGGTGCAGCAGTCTCTGACTCGTCTCAAGATGTTGTCCACGACATCCACGCCTTAATCTGTTTTCTCAAATCCGCAGCCTCGTCCAGCACCTTTTCGGAATAAATGAAAGATAAGCCAAGGAGAGAGAGAGAGAGAGATTTCCCTCCCAGCTTGATGCACCAAGAATGTAGCATCCCTAGCGCCAGATTCATCATGTTCAACCTACGGTGTACACCAGCCGGTATGCCTTGTTTAAGCGCCAGCTCTGCCGCAGTAAATCCAGCTTGCCCAGGAGCGTGGGCGCTGGCAGAGTCCAGACCTGGCCACACTGGTTAAAGGCCAACAGACTTCCAAGCATGCACACCCCGCAAGTGTCCGAAGTCTGGCCAGGCAGGCAATGAAGCTCAAAGTAGCCAACACCTCAAACGACAATCGCCCAGGTATGGGCTCACTCTTTTTAATTGAACTCATGAGAGTCATTGGTACAGGTTTGAAGGACAGGAGCCCAAGGAGTTCAAATCTGGCAGCCTACCCTTACTTAATACTCAGGAAAGAGATCCCGATACCCAGGACACCCTGCAGTTGCAAGTGCCAGTGGGCCGCGAGCACTTGGAGGCAGCCTGGGAGGGGCTTCGCAACTCCCGAGCCAATCGCAAGCCATCTCAGCGGAGTCGGTAGGGCCTCCTTGTCTTCCTTGTCTACAGACATGCCCCTTGGGCATAGTTCCATTGCACCCTCAAAGGCAATTTGGGTCATGTGCAAATGGACCTTCAATCCCGCATCATCGCCGCTTCCCAGAGTTCTCATGGAGAAAGGAGAGCAACAACTGCTCGATTTCTGGATGCCAAAGCCACCCTGCAATGTAGACTCTATATATATATATACTTGGATCTACAAACAGCACAGAATCATCCAAGCACCCCACACCTGCCACGCCCAAAACCAAGCAATGTCACTTTGGCTCAATCTAATCTGAGGGAACGACCAGCAGCGCGATGGCGTTTTAGCCTGAACAGCGATTGAGCAAAGCCCTTCAAACGACAAAACGTGTCCAGTGAATTTATGGAGAGCGGGCACCCCCCTTCTGAAAACCAGCCTTGGAGTCTTTGGAGTGTTCTGAAATTGGCTCCTTGCATCAAACGGTGAGTCTATCAAAGAAAATGGAATCTTTCCAGAATATATCTCAAAATGACTCCCCTCATTGTCATCTGCGTTCGTCTTCTTTTCACTTCTGCCAATCTTAAAGACTTTTACCGACCTAAAGAATCCTAAAGACCACCACTCTGTGCGCTCCAAGAGCTCGATTCGGTCTCCTCCTTGTAGAGAAGCGACTCGGTTTCCTCCTCGCCCTCGCCGGGCGGACCACGAAGCCTCGGGGCTGAGCGCTTTCCGGTTCGCCCTTTGGGTCACCAGCACCAAGGCCCATGGAGTCCATGGCCAAGGAGGTGACCAAATTCTGGAATTGTCCATGCCATGTGCCTTTGGGTCTTTAGGATTTCAGAGTGGCGACTGGTCTTTGGGGAGTTTTGAAACGATAAAGACCCCTCTGGCAGAGTCTGGGTCGAGATCAAGATCGAGACCCCCACCATGTGGGTCGTGCCCCTGGGTTCTTTGCGCCCCGTTCCACACGGAAAACCTTCTTGGAAATATCCGTACACCCAACACCGTGGAAATGACCATGCTACAATGCAAACAAACAGGTGCTGAGGACCACAAATCTGAGGGCCTGGTTTGCTCTTTGGACCCTACTCCAGTCATGGGGGGAGCTTCTTGGTGGGTGGCCTGGTAGATCATGTCTTCCTTCATCCAAAAGCAGCCTTGTGTGAATGGTTGAAACTTTAGATGAAGCATGGATAAACAACATGAATTGAGTGCTACAATAGGTCGTGGATGTTGGAATATGCAACTGTTGTCTCAAGCTGAGGAGTCCAACTCTTCATGCCGCCTTCGAAACATGACATGGGCGCGTCTCTTAAAAGCCTTGGGGCCTTGATTGAGGAATGGGATACTGGCAAATCATCTCTATCTGTCTGTGTGCGCCGTCACCTCTGCAATCGCGTTAACCGACACGAGAAGAACTTTTCTGGTCTTTTTCTAGAGGTTGCTTGCTCCTGCTTGAGCAAACAAACATATTACTAAGGCTTACTGAGGAATGTCGGACGTTGGTCAAGAACAGCTGTTGTTCGATGTCTTTCAAGGAAAGAAGCATCCTTGGATCTACGGGATCATGGGAGATGGCATCACTTAAGTTATCAACACATGTCATGCATTGGCCAGCCATGACTATTCTTCTGCCGGAGACGCAGTGCAGAGCCAATCACCGCAGATTGCGGTCCAAAAGCAGTGTGTCAAATCTAAAGGCCCTCCCACTGAAAAAAATGGACCGAAACAATCATGGACAAGACCATGACTGGTTGCCATTTCTATACCCAGCTTTATGAGCAAGGTCCAGTCCTACACTCTAGGGACCGAATCACTATCAAGCCAATGTCTCGGGGCCAAAGAGATTTGCTCAACGGTGATAAGGACATCTTCTTTTTGCGACTTTCCTCGCACGACGTTCATGAGCTCAACTCCTGCAAAGACTGTCTGAAACTGCCGGCAGATCTCATTCATCAGATCAAACCCATATCTATGTAGAGAGCGGATTATGTGGCTTTGAACCAGAACCAAAAACCCTGACCCAACATCAACATCTACTCACACTCAGGTGTAGATGTTGGGAGGCTACCCGGATCCTATTTCAGCCCACAAATGTTGCAGTGATGGCCAGGAACTGCAATCCGGATGCATCAATCGAAGCTTCGGGCTCAATGCATTGACTCACACTAGAATTCGCAACCTAAAAGTCGATCTCCAAGCCCACATCCTGCACCTGTGGTCAGGAAGAACTCCGCCTTGGTGAGCAAAGACTTTGATTGTTCACTCAGCTTCTTCGTCAAGAACAATTAGCAATAGTCTGTGTGGCCAGACCTCTTTTTCTTTTTCTGTTCCTGTTTGGCAAAACATCTGGGCCGAGGTCTTGCAAATGGAATCAAAGGTTGCTCTGTTCACACTGAAACCGTCTGCCAGCGTCTTAAGGATTAAGGATTTGCAACAAAAGATTGTCCTTGGAGTCCTTGGCCTTTCTTTCAGCGGATTCTGAGCTTCGTTTCCTCGGAATCCGCTAAGTATGCCACAGACGCCCCATTTGCCTTTGTCTTGGTGCTTGCATGATCCAGCCATCTAGCAAGGGAATCCGATTAAGGGCACATCGTCGGAACCTGAGACAAGCACTTCTTCTTCTTTTCTTCGGCCTCTGGCCAGAAAGATCCCACCAATACAGTACCGGGCTTGACCTACTTCAACAGTTTGGGAAACGATTTGCTGGTGGCTGCGGAGTAGAAGTAGGGTCCTTTACAACCTGTGTCAGCCACCAACCAGTGGATGCTCATCCCACAATGGCCCTACAGTCCTACTGTCGAAATGATGTAAGCCATTGATCCTGCTGTGACCCCTTCGCAGTGTCTTGCATGTTCGACCACATCTTTCCATACCACACCACCACATGGAGCAAATTCAAACGGTGCTTTGGCCCGTCCTCTGATCGAGAAGCACTCTTTCGCCTAGCACCAATCAAGGCAAAACTTATGTGATCAATTGTGCTCTAAGACTATACAGGATACACTCCTTCAACTGTCGGTTTTCCTGGAATCAACCCACCACAAAAAAAGAAAAGAAGGAAAAAGAGCAGGTAAGGGGCCTCTGTCATAAGGTAATAAGGCGCCCCCTTGGAGGCCACGCATCTTCTTTGTTACCCTTTGGCTTTTTCGATGTTCTCTTTTGGTGCATTCATCTGAAGGGAAAATGTTTTTAGGAACTTTCGCGCCTTCGATCTGTCTCCTTACTTCGCTCCTGGCAGTTGTTGACAATGAGTTGAACGTACCCCTTGCTCCACCGTGGCCAAACCTACGGTTTGTCGAATGGAGCGCCCCGAAACGGTCGATTCAACGAGTCCTTCTCCTTCTTTTTGGCTCTTGACAAATCAGAGCTCTCGCTTCTTTTCCTGCCACAGAACTCAATATACTAATATACCATCTCAAATGCCTGTGCCAAAGGCTATCTTTTTGAATCATCTGAAAGCTCTCTGAGCCTCCGGTCTCTTTCCTTGGCCCGACCTCGGTCCTCACAAAACCGAACAGCTGTGCTTACATGCGCTTGCAGGTCTGGCTTGTCAGATCTGAGGTTTTCGAAAGCTCCTTCTTTTTCGCTCTGGAAGAATCTGAGCTAGTGCTTCTTTTCCTGCCATGAGACATTCATCTATCACCATCATCATCATCATCATCATCATCATCATCATCATACCAACAACCTTCTATTGTCCCTGGCAAGAAAGCGTGCGCTGATGATCAGATTTGCAAGAGTCCTCTTTCAAAGCGAATCCAGCCAATCTTTCAAACAAAACAGAAGGACATTCTGCCTTTGTTTGGCATCCGTCAAGCAAAGGGCCTCTTCTCATGGTCCTTTTTCCGGTCTTTGTCCTGGACAAAACCAAAGGCTGGAATAACGTGGACATGCCAACTGATTTTCACTGATCCTTTGCCAAGGATTGGGACGTATTCTTGAGCAGGTCAAGAATATCTCACAGATTGGGAGTGGTCTTTGGCATATGGGCATCGGCGAAAAACATAGAAAAACAAGGGTCACTTGGACTCTGAATACGCTACAGGCGAGCTGGACCCAACCTCAAGATTGCAGCTGGGATGCTTTCTCAGCTCTATCTTTGGCCCTCTCTCGACCTTTTGATCTTGATCGCGACTTGTGCTTCTTCTTCTTCTCACGTTCCTTTGATCTTGATTTGGATCTCGATCTGGATCTCTCCCTCTTTTTGTGACGTTCTTTCGACCTTGCACATGCGGTTCGTCCCAACAACACCATTAAATTAGGTGCCCTGTTGCGTTCCCTCTTCTCCCCGGGACAAAAATTGGGTGAAGGTTCTTGGCCTCTTGCGCGAACTCCCTCCGGCTGTCGTCGGCTCTGTCCATCCCTCGGTCCAACCGGCTGACATCGCTCATCCGGTCAACGGTGCCTCTCTTTCTTCTCGGAGCGCGATCGCTCCCTGTCCTGGTTTAGAGGCCGAGCATGGCCGAGTGTGGCCTCTCGGGGTCGGTTTTGAGGGGGTTCTGATCGGCTGACCCTCAGCCGTAGCCTTTGACGGAAATCGAAGACAGGTTAAAACGGTTAAAAGCCAGGTGACTCGAGTGAAAGAACCTCCGGTTGTTTCTGAGCTCAGTCCGCCTCCACACATCAGGGAAATATCAGCCATCTGGCAGCCAGAGGAATCAGAAGAATCCGGATCAGTTTCGGGATTCAGACGGTGGTTATGTAGTTTGTTCAAATTGATTGAGGTGTCCTCCACCAACCCAATGGGTGAAACAGAAACTGAAGCTCGATTGGTCTATGCCTCTAGCATTCTTCAGTCAGAGCTTTGATGATGATTGTCCCGCACAACGAAATATGTTGGTCCTTCTCCTTTGCCTTCTTCTTCTTCGTGGCCTTATCGCTATCTTCATCTTCTCTCACATGTTCGCTCTCTTTTGCTTTCTTCTCTTTGTCCTTGTCCCTTTCTTTCTCCTTGTCCTTCTCCTTCTCCTTCTCTTGTTCCTTCTCCATGTTCTTTTCCTTTTCCTTTTCAGACTCTTTATGTTTCTTGTCCTTCTTCTTGTCTTTTTCCTTCTCCTTCTCCTTCTCTTTTTCCTTTGCCTTCGTTTTTGCCTTGTCTTTGTCTTTCTCCTGTTTCTCTTTCAATGCCTCTTGTTTCTTTTCTTTCTCATCGTCTTTCCCTCGATCCTTCTCCTTGAGATCCTCCTTCACCTCCTTGTTCTCAAGCACCTCCTTGTGGAGAGCCGTTGGTTCCTCAGCAACCTCGTGCTCCTTGGGGACTTGAAGCACCTGCTGCTTCTCCATGTCCTTGTCAGGTAGAAAATCACGCGCAGCAACAACACACAGAACATGAGAGATTCATCTGCTTTGATCTGTGGGTCTGTAGGGACCCTTTTCTTTAAGCAATCCATTGGGCCTCCCTGGTGGCGGCAGCATCGTTGGCTTCCTTCAACTCCGGCTGCTCCTCAAAGCGTCTGACAAAATAGCAAAAGAGCGTGGACATCTCAGAAGCGTTTTTTTGATAAAAACGCAAAAATGCGTGTCATCCCTTCATGACCATCTTCTGAGAGGTTTGGATTCTTTTTATCAGGTTGGAGATCATCGCTTTTAGGATGCATTGCTGTTACTGTAGATTTCTGGTTTTTCCTTTTGTTGGCTCAGCTCATCTCAGCTCCTTTGAGACCAGCTCTTCCAGCGCAGCCTGGCTCCCAGTGCTTGACCAAGTTTGCATCCAGCCCAGCCCACGGCCCGGTCGTCATCCGAACCCGACGTACCCGAAACATACGCAGTGACTTTCGATGTAGAATCAGTGAATTCACTTTGTTTCATGTGTTTGAAGAAGTGGATGCAAATATATGGATAACTTGAAGAAATCAAGACTGCATTGTTGCCCGACAGAATCCCAACATGTTCGGTGAAGTCCCTTGCAAATCCATGCGCCTTCTCGGCTGCACGACGCTCCTTGTCTTTGACCTTCTGCGCGGCTTCCTGGGCCTTGTGGCACGTTCTGATGGAAACATCCGTGCCACTTTTGTTCCCTCCAACTGGTTTTCTGAGGTCGGTCATTCTTGGTCCTATACCCAAGTTATCAAACCTTTTCTTGAGCCACTGAAGGTTCTCGGCAACCAGCAACCGGTGAAAGCTCGGGCGTAAAAGTGTCGGGCAATGGCACACCCGCCCTCTGGGCCAACAAACCTCCTTACCAATAAACATCGCCCTCACTGGGTCTGTGGCTTATCTACTACTCCAAAAGGTTACTTTTCCACAAGCCAAACTGCGCAATCTCTATAAGCTGTTAAACCCTCCTCAGAACTCCCTCTAAAAGCCTTGGTGAACCAAAATACCCCGGCAGTTTTTGCGGCAACCGAGCTCCACACTAAGCGCTCGTCGCGAGCGTGGAGCGTGGCCGCCATCTCCGCCTGGCGCGACACCTGCCCGGCACTGCAGCTTCTATGCGCGTGCCCTGTCTGTTCGGTCGATGGGAAGACCAATCAATGTTCAGGTCGATTCGGCCGGTGAGGCGGTCGGGCGGATCGCACAAGTTTCAGGGGCCGTCTCGGGGTCGGATCCTAGTGGTCTTCAGGAAAACCAGCTGGATTGTAGAGAGAAAAAGAGTGATCCAAGGGGCCAGGCCCACTTCTATGATTGTTCCACGAAGCATAGGAGATTGAGGAAATCTTAGAGACCCAGTCGGCAGTTTAGGATCCAAAAACGCTGAACGTGCTTCGTTGAGCGTGGGATGAGAAGGGCCTGAAAACAATTCGACCATCTTTGAAAAAGGCAATGTTTCACTTCAGCGGCTTTTGTACTTCAGCAAATCTATGACAAAGCGTCCAAAAAGAAACTCCGTAGCAGGTCACCAAATGGTCTCTTCCGTGTATCAACTTTGATCTCGTAAAGGTTGAATTTATTAACATGCGCCAGCTCGAAATCAGCTTCTGCTGACTCTGAAAAAAGGAACGTTGACTGATATTGATAGCCCATGTCAAATTCAATAGCAAGGATGCTACTAGTAGTAAGGTGCCTTACTACTAGTAGCAAGAAGCTACTAGTAGCAAGGTGCATCGCCACTAGTAGCAAAGTCAAATTCACCGACGCGTTGGCCTCATCCTTTTGGCCGGAGCTGGCCTCAAGAAGGAGCAAATCTGCTGTCGGTCCGTCGGTCCTGTTTCTTGAAATCACATGCATCTTTGGATTCCAAAGCAAGCGCAACAGGATGCAATCTGCAGATCTAACAATCAAAGAACTTCAGAACTACAGCCACTTCGGCTGCTTTTGCTGCATGCTGAGCTCAAGGGCGTCCGATCCAATGACCCATTTCCAGCCACTACCTGTCAGATCGTCGCGTCAGCAGCGCAACCCGGACCCAACACTGGAAAATACATGACGGAGTCTGATTCCAAGAAATTTTCACCTTTATCAATAACTTCATGACACTTCATCACATCATGGTTCTGTTCAAGACTGCTCATGAAAATGGTAGCATCTTCTCCACGTCTTCTCTGCGTTGAACACATCGCCTTCATGGTTCTTGGGCGCCGTTTTGCCGCCTTCGAACTGCAACAAGGCAGGGGTCTCACCTGTCGCAACTGTCTCGAGGTCGATCGAGATCACCAGCGAGCGGGTGTGGATCACATCTTCGTGGGGTCCCGGCCTATGACCCGCAAGCGCTGGCCCTTGGAGCAGCCATACTTCGCACCTGAGATTTCCGAAAGTCGGACATCCATTTCTCGCCATCAAGACTCTGTGGATGTCCAAATTTGCTTCCTCAAGCCAAAGCCAGTTTGGTTCAAAACTGGGCCAGGCACGAAGCATTTCGATGACACCACCAATGCCTTTGACCTGCCATTTGTTAATCCAAGTGTCTTCTTGAATTGAACTGCAAGGGTCTAGAGTCTAGAGAAACATCAGACCAACACAACCAGACTCAAAGGACATTGCCTTTCCCCATAGCTGGAAACCGGATCTCCATGGATCTCTCAATCCTTTTTCCGCATCTCAACCTCATCCCGCACCTTTTGTCGACTGCCCCCGATGCCGGATCATCCGAAACTGTGTTTATGGTATTCTATATAGAAGGATCCTTGTTCCTATTAGCAATGGCCTCCAACCTAACAGCGTCCTTCCTACATATTCTTTCATTCGCACCTGCCCCACCAGAGGACCACTGGTCTCCTCGGTCACAAAGCTCTCCGGATCCGCCGCGGAGGCGAAGCGCGAGTGCTCGGAGCGGACCTCCTGGAGGTGCCGGTGAAGCCCGGGGACGCCCGGGGACACTGAATTTGGGCGAAGTGGTGAAGCCATCAAGGGCTTCAAAAGGGACCTTGAAAAGGACATGCAGCAAGATGCTTTATATAGTCCTTTGACATCCCTATACATTTGTCCGTTTCTTTAGACTGCTCTCCTGGATGGAGGTTGAAAGCTTGTTGATTTTTCAGAAACAAAGGCAGTGATGACATTGAAGCCGCGCACGGTCCGGTCGGAATCGGATCGCTCTTGTCTTTTTCTGTCAAAATGCCAGTTCCAGGGGACATTGAGCCATCATTCCGAAGCAGTAGAGTCTATAGAACATACATACAGGTAGTTCACTGGTCAGCATCCATGTCCTTTGATTCCCGACGCAAAACGTCCCCGCTGACCTGTGGAGTCGCATGGATGAAGGCACGAGCCGCCTCTGCCGAGAAGAGCGGCAGCGGCATCTGCTCCGATGCCGGCTGGCAGCGCAGAATTCGCGGTGCAGAATGCGCGATGCGGCGCAGAGCGGCACAACGGTGCTGGGAAGATTCGCGAGGAATGCGGCCGAATGAGTTTGATCCCGAGGAAAAAGAATAGCTACAGACACCAACCGGTTACTGTTCGCGCCCAAATGGGAATCACTACAGAGTCTTCCTCTCCCACCACAGCCGCCCAGCCCGCACAGCTGAACTTCCGCCTTGGGTGGTTCCACCTTCTTCCCACTGGCGATCATCTCAAACTCCAACTGTTCAAGGCCAAATGTGGCATCTCTACCACTGGTCACATCAGAATGTCTCAATTCTACTACCCATATGTCTCAATCTTCAAATCCAGACTGTCAGGGAAGGAAAGATGAAGCGCATCTGCATATGCCATAGATCATTGAACATTTGCAAACACCATGGCCAAAACTGTCCACACAAACAGTCTCAAAACCCCTGGGACAACAGCCAAACAGCATCTCGCTGGGACCTCCATCTCTCGTCCCCGTTTCGCCCGAGTTTGCAGCACCGCCACCGAATCGCGGCAGCCCGACAGAGTCCTGGCGCTGTCGCTGCGCCGCAAACAATTGACTCAACGACGTACGCGACGACGTACGCAGCACGTTTCCCATGGGAGCGGCAGTTCGAGACCCTTTTTTCACCGCTCACTAAAGTGGGGTAATCCACACGAGGAGAGTTTTAACCCTGCTCAGCTGTCCAGGGTGGACTTCCAAGAAAATCTTACCGATGGACACTGCCACAAATCCGGTGCATGTTGGGCCTAAACCGAAAAAATGTGTGCTTCAACAGCTTGCTTATTCCAGGAGTTTGCATTCTGCACTTCACATGCACCAAGCCATTCCCATTCTGATTCCCAACGGTTGAGAAGAGATTTGTTCAGACAAGTGCTGCTTTTCCTGCAACATTCCGCTTGCTGTGAATCTGTACTTTGAGGCAGCTGAAGGCAGGTCCTTTTGGCATCTCCTACTTGGGATGTCCGGCAATGCAGAGCAAGTCAATGCAATACCGATTGCCCTTTGCATCCGGAAGATTGTGGCCCAAATGCGTGCCACACTTGGACACCACCTCACCACCCTCACGTATTTCGACATTCTTTTTTACAAGTTCCTCTTCGCGGAAGGAAGGCCAGCCATGATGTTGGCTCTCAGATTTGAAATCTTTCAGACTTCTTCCTTTCGGCGCCTTGAACAGCGGAATGCCACACTGAGCATCGTAAAAGGTCACGACACCTGCTTCTTCGTTCACCTCCTTCCAGAAAGGCACTCGGTTCAAAGAGCCCGCGGGTTCAGCATAATGCTGTGGGACTTTACAGCACACCTCTGAGAAGCCCTCATTCACCAGCGCTTGCGCCCCGAATCGCAGGTCGCTCTGTAAACAAGTGGAAGACTCCCAGTTCAAGAATCCATATGCTTTGGTGCACACCACCACAAGCACCAGCGCCTTTTTGTGCGAAAAGGTCATTGAGTCGAATGCTTTCACTCGAGCCTCTAAGCTGCGAAGGGACCCAATCAAACGCCCAAACACGCAGCTTCCCCTGAGAGTCCGACTCCTTTTACCTCGATGGTAGTGAGTCATTGGAAGTTTCTGGGTTCTCTGTTCAAACCCCACACTTCCCGGCCAGTTCCTGTCGCTTTCTCGGTCCAAATCCCCTCGGTCCCTCCAGTGATCACTCGCTTCTGGTCGAGCGGGTTCATCAACTTCATCATCTCTTCCGACTGCGCGGACAATTGTTGGATCCGACGAGAAAAGACAGGAATGATCTGCTCCTCCAGTGCATAGGAACACCGGGACATGAACCGGGAGCGGACCCCAAAACCGAGAGAAGGTGAGATCAAATGACTGATTACTGCAGTCCATGAAATGAAAGACTTACACGTTTGGGGTGAAGCAAGGCTCAGAAGCTGGACAATGATTTACGTGCTGCAGCAGGGGCTGCGTTGGATGGTCTCAGCCCTCAGAAACCTACCTACCCTTCAAAGACCCTGTGAGTACTTACAACATAAAGGTGTGCATGGCCTCCGGCGTCATCCAACGGCGATTGGCTGAAATGAACGCCTCCCAAGAAAAAGATGGCAAAAGGTTCAACTGTGCCAGCTGCGCAGTGTTCTCAAGTTGGAGGAGACAAGTTCATCAATTCGCGCCCGCCGCCATGCCCTTGTGAACTCTGACCCTGGTGTTGAGATTCAGTTCCAATCCCCACACCATGCCACCTCAACCTCCTCCTTGCTGGCAGGAATGGACAGCTTTGTGGCCTCAGAGCCCACCGAGCTGGCAGTGGAAAAGCCGTAACTTGGCGCCCGACCTCACCGAACCCCCAAGCCAGAAGCGTGATAGAAACCCTGTTCGTACCCTTGTGGAGGTCATTTACCTTTGGCCACCTGTCTTTCAATGCTTGAGTCCTAATAAGAGCCAAAATTCGAGACCGCACGTGTTTTGCACCGCTGGCGATTTTCACGTCTTGTCCAGATACGGTTGCAATCCAACCCGTTCATCCTCAAAACGTGATGAAGGCGGCGGTGATGGGCCAATCACCCAAGGCTAGTATGCGCCAGATACATCGACATCTTCCCTCAGCAGGTTGATGAGCAATCCACTCACACCAAAGCGAAAGGTCTCTGGCTGCAAAAAGCTGGAAGGTAGCATCTCTTCGACCAACTTCATGTAGCTCAAAGCATCTTCAAAAGTGCGAACTCCACCTGAGATCTTGAGTCCGCAAGGCCGTGTCTCCGCGAAATCCTGGATGCGGACACTGTGGACGCTGTTGTGCAGTCGGATTAAACTGGGTAGTTATCCAAACAATCTTTAGGAGGTATATATATCGGCTCTTTCAAGGCTCTTTCCTTGTCATTTAGGTTGACCCATCATTCACCTTATTGGTGAAGAACCCTTGTCCTTGATGGCCTGGAGCATCACTCTCGCAGCCTCCAGGCTTGCGCCGTTGGGCGTCTTCCCAGTGGAGGTCTTCAGAAAGTCGGCTCCATTCTCAAGTGCATCCTGCAGTTGTTTCCCACAAACAAGGCATTGGAGCTAGGTGTTAACACTTGCTCATTTCAGGGGTGAACTTCCCAAACATCTTTGCCTAAACTAATTTGAAAAAAGATGAGAACTGAACTCTTTACATTCTGCCCATGTTTCAAGAAGATCTGGTTTTGTTGATCTCTCCTGGGAAGCCTTTCGGATCAACTCGGGCGCTTTCAATTCACCGGTTTCGAGGATCACCTTCAGGCAGCACGACTGGCCTTTCGCTTTTGTTCGCTCAATCAAATCCTTCAAACTTTGGATTAGCTCGCAGGACCTGGCAGATGTTGCTTCGCCTTTGCTGGCGGTCTCTAAGTACTCCCTGTAGCAAATCACAAGGTCTATTTCATCTGCCCCAGAATCCAGTGCCATCTTTGCACCCTTTTGCACACTTTCTAGATCTTCATCTCCACTTGGGAAATTCACGACAGTGGCCACATGTAGACTTTTTGCCGGACTCTCAGAAGCTTTTTGCTTGGCAGCAAGGACAAACTCAGGGTACACGCACACAGCGGCCACTGATGTCTCCAAAGCATTGTCAGTGCCCAAGGCGACCAGCTGTCGAACCTTCTCTTCGGTGTCACTGTCTTTGTCCAAGGTGGTCAGGTCCATCAAGGAAATCATTTTCTGCTTTACCTCCCGCAGCTTGGCCATTTCGCGGGAAGACTGTTCTTCTTTCACAAAGAACGTTTTTAGTTTTTTCAGATGACCCAACAGTCGTGAGAATGAAGGATGTACTTGGGCCACTCTTCTGTCGGATGCAATAGGAATGACTATAGGCTATGACTAGCTATGACTTTCATTGTGGCACTAGTTGAGCCAGCAACTTCAGTGTGCTGCAGGAAAAGTCTTCATTCCACCAAAGCTTTGCTTTTGGCCGCACACAGAGGCTTTGGCCGCATCTTCTGTCTTCGAGCCCTCAGCACTGGAACAGAAGGACAAAGCATGTGTCTGTGTCTATGTGGGTACAAAGCCGCAACCCAAAAAATGAATAGTAGCCCCTTGGAGGTTAAGGGAAATTTCAGAGGTATCGATCAGTACATATCAACACGCAGGTATTGATACCTGCAGATTGAAGGGGTGTCTATGGCCCCTTCGGGTTGGTCCGGGGGTGTCCAGTAGCCACCCCTTCTGCGTCCTGCTATCTATCTATCTATATATATATATACGTACGCAGGAGGCTCAGGCAGTGATTCAACTCCCAAGGCTCAGGCAGACAGAATCGCTTCCTTCTCCTTCGCCTGGCGAGAACGAGCCCACAGGTTGATCAATTGGATCCGTTCATGGGGAAGCAAGGTCTCCACTTCAATAAAAGCAACTTCCCAGCTGAGCAATCCACCCGCACCAAGTCCCAACCGCCTGGCGGACCCGCGAACGCATCACACCCGCGGCGTCGCGACAGCTCACCTCGGACGGCGCCGGAAACGGCGCGTTTGTTTGGGCGTTCAGGCGGACATGTGCAGGATCAGCTCGCCCAAAGGAGAGATGTTGGCACTCTTGTTGGAAGTGTCAAGTTGAGAAACCCAGAAAAACCATCGAAGTGGCGAACGAGCGACCCGTGACATTTGACTACTTTGGACACCAACACCTTGCACAGGATTTCGATCATGTCCAAACATCTGGAGGCTGAGAACGGCACCAAAGTACCAGCGCTAATGACGCGCCTCTGATCCTGAAGCAAAGGCAGTCCAGCAGAAACCGATGTTTTGAGGTTACATCATGGCTTCCTGTTTCCCCTGAACCAACCACCTGGGGGCAGACCTAAACCATAGGTTCTTGTTCAAGCCTCACACGTGTTCATCTTGTGCACCCTAGACTTTTCTGCCAAGTCACATGAAATTCATGCCCCACAGGGACTCATTCGCATGTGGCGGCTCACCGGCTCACCGTGTCCGCGGCCAAACGCGTCCAAAAAGACAAAGCCCACTGGACAATCTCCTTACGGCTTCCATATCTTGTGTGAACCAGCTTGTTTACCTAAGACCAAGCCCCCACCCAATTCAGTCCTCCGGTGACATATTTCGAAGCTCGCTGGCGGCTGCATCATCAATCCAACGGTCTGGCGTTTTCCACACAGAAGACCCAAACCGGGATCAAAAACCATCCACTACTGATGTAGCAAGAATCAAGAAAATGCCATTGCCACTCACTCGCCAAATGCTGAGCTCAAGACTGTTTTCTTTGATGAAAGCCTCCACTTCATCTTTGCTGGCTGGATCTACCTTGAAGCTCCTGCCAACGCGATGTTTCACACGTAGGGAAAAACTAGCGATGTGCCACTGTCAATGCATCCTGCCTTGTGGCCTCCGCACTTGGGGCTTGCGCCGCTGGGCCAGCTTCAGCTGCCATCGGACCTGGGTCAAACACGGATCCGTGGTGAAAAGAAGCAAGGATCACCTGAAATGGGAATCAAAGGTTCAGTTGTCTAACAATCTTATCAATCAAAAATTCAAAAAATAAAAAGAGAGAGAGAAAAACATTTGGTGAATCAAAACCTTGGGGTCAAACACACCGCACCCTGCCAAGGGTGCGTGCGAAGCTGCCCGCATGTCAGCGCAGGAATGGCAAGTGTTCTCAGTAATTTGCTGTGCTGACTACAATTTGTTGGCTACCAAGAAGGGAACTACCTGATATATTCAATGCTGGAAGTTGTTTCCAATGCCACGCACGTCAACAATACATCTTGTCTTCATCGATCTGGACAGGTGTTTTTTGGCTGTGTCCAACCAAGTGGGAACACAGTCAAACCCCAACTTGTAATTGCCTGTTGCTAGACATGTTGCCTGTGGTTGGTGGATATGTTTTTGAAGCCTGTCGGTGTGAAGAAGCAACAATCCATCATCTTGTGGACGGTTGTCATCTTGCCCTGCCATTGGAGATGACAAGGACCAACCCCCCAAAAAAAACAAACATGTCCTTCATAATAGGACACACTTGCCCTGAAATCCAAGGTGGTTGGTTGAAACATGCGTTTGATCGGACAAAACTAGCTTAAAGCACGCAAAAAAAATTTGGCGTGGCTTTAAGTGGGGTAATGCATCTCAGGCTGTCATGCTTATCCTGGAACAAGGTCAGAACGGCCTGTAGGTATGCGTAAGTTCTGCATGAGCACAAGCTTGAAATGGCAAAACGCAAGCCCATATAAATAATAGTTGCCAACAGCGGGCTATCTTGGAGCCAACTGCTGAGACTCTGTCGCCCTCCTGAGGTGGAAGGGCATCATCCACCAGCAAAGTTCCCCTTCAAACTCCCCCATCTTCCAACGCATGTGTGTATGTAGCTTGACCAAATGGGCTTGCCATTGACCGTCAAAAGCCTGCACCCAACCCCTTGTGTTTGGTTTTGCTCACTACTTGACCACTGTCTGGTCTCACCACTTATGTGAACATGATTGACTTTGACTCAAGCCTGCTAAAACAATCGCTTGCTTGCGTGCGCCATAGCATTTGTCAGTTTCGTTCGTGCTCGTCCGGCGGACCGCTCTCGAGACAGTGTCTTTCCAAGGGATATCCACTGCAATTGCACTGCATGTCAACAGTCGTAGCGGAGCTTGCTCGCAATGTCCACGTCAGGGGATGATGCCACGGTATGCAATGGACAGGCGCCTATCAATCAGCAATGGCAGCAATGCCTTCTATTTGCGGTACGGTTGTCATGAAGAGTCGAAGACCCTTCCTATAAATGCAAAGTTGCCGCCAATATTTGTGTGTGTTGGCTCTGCTACGAAGAGGCCGTTGATGATTGGTTGGCCATTGCCAGCATTGATGAGGCATAAGGTCGAACCTAATGGTCCACTGTTAAAGACACGTCTGACGGGCGATGCCACGATCTACCCTGAGTTCCTTGACAATGATCGCCTTAAGGATGCTGACAACGGAACTCATCAGTTTTTTCTTTCCCATCGATACGCGCGTTGTGGTCTGTGCCACGCGTCACAAATTGAAGAAGAGGTGAAAGAAAGAGTGAGGACTGCAAACAAGTCCAGACAAGAAGCAAGAAGTGAAACAAATGAAACAAGAAAACAACAGTGAACCAACAAGCTGCTTCAATCAGCATGTTGCTGCACAAACCAACTGTTGAGTGTTACCTACTCCTCTAACAATCTTCCAGTGCTCTGCTAACCGAAGGAAAATCTGGTTTCCATCAACAATGCGAAGATCTGCGTACTTTCTGGCGATGAAAAAACTTTCCAACATGTTGCGGTAAGCTAAGAACTCTGTCTCAATCTCTTGCAGGCTGTCTGCCAGTGTCTCCACTGTGGGTTTCTTCACCGTGAAACGCATCACCAACTCTCGGTGGTGCAAAGCTCGGTTCTGCTCATCAAGGAAAACTCTCCAGGTAAGAGACGCAACAGTTCATAGTTGTCACCTTGATGCATTTCTCGAACTGCTGGAAGAATTTCCTGAGAAGAAACCCAAGCCGAAAGGAGCAGCCAAGAAACTTCCCAAAGCCTAAAGGCAAAGGTCGCTGCGAGTCGTGGCAAAGGCCGTGGAAAGGGTAGCAGGGGAAAGTTCGTGAGGTTGAAGATGGAGAGTGAAGACGAAGAGTGGCATGATCAAGAAGAAAAAGAAGAAGAAGAAGAAGACCATGAAGAGACACTTGCACATGTGTGAAAACACACGGACAGCGCAGCAGTCCTTTTCTCGGTCCCACTCTTGAGCCAAAAGCCCAGCATTGAGGCTTTCACTCTTGAGCTACATAGTCCAAAGACTAAGAAAACCCTTCAAAGTACAAGAACCAGCTAAGAAGTCTACCAAGACCACCCTGGTTGAGACTCTCCCAAAACCAAACAGCACGAAGGAACCAAAACACAAAGAGGCACCACTCCTATGGAAAATCATTTTCAAAACCCCTATACAGAGCTATCTAGAAAGCCATACTGTTCACTCCTAACTGTTCACCCCTTCTTGGGTCACTACCACATGCTAGCTACTCTGTCCTCTTTCTATACATTGAATTCTTCTGTCTTCTTCTCATTCGGTTGAAAAACTAAGCTCATCAACTAAGTTTTCAACCTTGACGTCCACCAGTCTTCAACAACAAACTCAACAAAGCACGCCAAGCTCAACAACCATGCACGCAGACAACAACTCAAGTCAACACGCACGTCAAAATCAAATCGACAAGGAATGAAGCAAGCAAGGATCTCGTTGAATCTTTGGTCATCATGGGGATCCTTGAACGACAAAGGTTCAAGAAGGTACCTGACAGGCAAGGTTGCAGGTGCAAAACCATGAGCCCTAACTACAAGCTTTTCCAGACATTGCATCATCAGCGTCACAAGCTCTTCAACATCCACAAAAGCAGTGATGTCAATGAAGCTATCAGCCTTCAGTAGAATGATCAACATCCTGTCAGACATGCTCCATCTCCTGTGAACATGGTCACCTCAGCGTTGAGGAACATGGAACATTCGAACGAAAACGAGCGACGAAAGAGCCAATTCTCATCTGTCTCAACGCCTGGTTCAGTTCACAGAGGAGAAAGGAGCTAGACTTGCATCGTCGCCACCCAGTCCAACAGGTGCCCGCGTCTGAACACTACATCCAGTGAGCTGGCATCAGGCGAGAACCTCAGTTCTCGACCTGTGTCAAAGCGCATCGGTAGAATGCACAGCTGGTTGGAACCCAGGTGAGAACCTTAGTTCTTGTCCTGGGCCTGAGTGCGACCCCTTTTCGAATCCCGCTCTTGAGCCAAACATAACAGTCGGTTTGACTGTATGTCTGTTCGTCCACTCTTCTCTGAAGAGGTCTGACTGGTCACAGTCGTCCAAAACATACTCAAAGTACAAGAAAGCATCTCCAAACACTCTCAAGCAAAGCTAGGCTATACACAGCTCATCCAAAGCACTACAGCTCTATACTTAGGTCTTCTCTAGACATGCTCCTAGCCACTTCTGGTCACATTCCACTTAGTCCTGCTAAGGTGGTCAGAGAAAACACACTCCAAGGAGGAAGATCCCTACTCAGCTCCAACCCCAAGGACAGAAAAACGAAAAGTTCCACAACACAGAGGTACTAGGTGATCCACACACTGTACAGGCGTGCTACCCACACTTTTCACACCCCTTCTTGGGTCACCTCGTACCTTCTCCTGGTCTTCCTGTCTTCTTCTTCTCTTCAATTCGTTTTCTCTGAGCAACTAAGATTCGAGCATCAACTAAGATCTCAACTCCTGTGGTCCAAACTGGTCTCCAGGTCGATCAAACGTCAACAAATCAAGAACGACCTCCAAGCACGTTCCAATCAAGATCAACCAATCAACCAAGGTTCAACCAAGCAAGACAAACATCAACAGGTCAAGATCCCTCAGACAGCATGGCCTCAAGGAGCTGCACAGAGCTAGCTCCTGGCTCATGCTTGTGTCATCCTTGGGACCTTGAAACCAAGATGGTTTCAAGTGAACACCTGACAGGTCAAAACGACAAACACCCATCGTGACAAAACCTGACAAGTCCAAAAGTGCACAAAGCTTCAAACAGCCAGCGAAAATGAAGTCTAGCTTCAACCCCTTAGTTACAAACCCTGGGTTACTGTTTGACTAACATCTTCTGAAGCACATCTTGAGTTCCAAAACCCTTTCACTTGCCTTCAACTGCAACCAATCGACTCGACATCAACTCGATGCAAATGTCATCCGGTCCAAAGTCCACAGCAATCAAAGGAAGCTAGTCACCCTGCTAGCTACAAACCCTCTTTACTGTTTGCCATGGTACATGGTGCAAATGCAAAAGACATCTCTGATTCTCACCGTTCTCAACCCTCAATCTCTTCTTGATGTCACTTCCTCTGAACCCCTGGCCTCTTCCCTTTTCATCCTGTCAAGTTCAGACATAGCAATCCACAAAACTTCAAACCTCACAAGATCTCAAACGCGCATGCCCTTGACTTAACAAGAAAACTTGAACAAGACAACATGGAGTTCAAACGAAGCTCAAATGAAGTTCAGCAAAAGCAAGTTGAGACTCACAAGAACTAACCCCTGGGTTCTTCTTTTCTCATCGATGGTCAGCTGTCTTCAGTTCTGAAGCAAACCTAGGATCATACATCCCCGGTGCCAGCTTCTCTTCTCAAAGGAAGATGCTACAAGGATCTCTCCTAGATATCATTTGGGACCTGCTCAACCCAAACCCAATGCCCATCAGAGGTTCGCATTCTCTTACAGGATGGTTGTGGTGGTCCCTGGCGCAGCCACTGCTGCATGGGGATGTCGGCACTGGATACCCTGCAGTCGAAAAAGCTGGGGGAAAGATCGGTCCCGAAGGAAATCCTCCAGGTGCTGCAGCAAGCGAAGTGGGCATAAGCTTTGGCGCCACAGCCGGTGCAACCGGCGTCTGAACAACCCCGGTCCCCAA